TTAACGAACGAGCCGAACACGAGCTGCTTAACGAGCCGAACACGAGCTGTTCACGAACAACAAGCCAAATTGACAGCCCTATATACATGCCACTCAATTCCTATGTATTTACATATCTAACACATAAACTTTGTTTTTTACATATATACCACTTTACCAATACATAAAAAAAGGTATATTTCACACTTTAAAATTGAAAATAATGGTATTTTTTATGTGTAAGATTTGAGTGACATAAATGTAAAAAGACTAAAGTTTAGGTGTTAGATATATAAATATATAGGAATGTATGTAAATGCCCCTAGATTTTATAGTCTTTGAATTTTTGGAGAAGAGCATGACATAAAGAGTTAATTGATTAATCATATTTTATTTTTATTTTAAAATTATTTAAATAATTAAAACATTATTATGATTGAGTTTGGATAAAGTATGTTTTAGACCCCTGTTTGACAAAGGGATCAAATGCAAGAAAAAAAGGGGCACCCAAAAATTCTTATTTACAAATCAACCCCCCTCTTTCATCCATTTTTCAAATTCTCTCTCACATACATTCCTATGTATTTACATATCTAACACATAAACTTTGTTTTTTACATATATACCACTTTACCAATACATAAAAAAAGGTATATTTCACACTTTAAAATTGAAAATAATGGTATTTTTTATGTGTAAGATTTGAGTGACATAAATGTAAAAAGACTAAAGTTTAGGTGTTAGATATATAAATATATAGGAATGTATGTAAATGCCCCTAGATTTTATAGTCTTTGAATTTTTGGAGAAGAGCATGACATAAAGAGTTAATTGATTAATCATATTTTATTTTTATTTTAAAATTATTTAAATAATTAAAACATTATTATGATTGAGTTTGGATAAAGTATGTTTTAGACCCCTGTTTGATAAAGGGCCCAAATGCAAGCAAATGCAAGAAAAAAAGGGGCACCCAAAACTTCTTATTTACAAATCAACCCCCCTCTTTCATCAATTTTTAAAATTCTCTCTCACATATCAAAATTCTGGGCGGCTAATTTGTAAATATCAATGTTTCGGAGGTGGCATGTATATAATTATCCAAAAATAAATTAGAAATTGAGAGTGATTAGAGAAAAATACCCACCACCAATCATAGATTAATTAATTAAAAACTATGATTAAGTTAATTAATAAGCCTCTCTTATTCTAATGCAAAATCTTGTTAACATGCAGGGCAGGAGCTGGGCCTGGTTGGGCCTATTTGGGAGCCTCTTATTTCTAGTTGGAGGCCTAATGAATGTACTAAAAGTGTTCAAAATGCATCAAATGGATATTGGCAGACTAGAGAGCCTTAGAGGGGGTGCCCATGAACGGCGCATGCGAGAGAGGGTGGGTTGGTTGTCCTTACTCTATGAGGGTGCCCTTGATTGGCTCATGGGAGAGAGGGTGGGTTGGTGGGCCTTATTCTTCGAGGGTATTGAACGGCCACGCAGGAGATACAATGCCAACTTTCTTCGCTCCGTTGACAATACAGATACGTACCAATGGTGTCGGGACGATGGTGAGGCGGACGCTTTACAATGACATGATTGTCAGTGGTGAAGGTGGAGCTTGGAGCTTTTGATTTAGCTTTGGAATATGATTTTTTTCTTTTTTTTTAGTTGCCTTTATTGTTTAATGCTATTATATAGACGTTTAGTTGGGGTTAAAGATATATGTTTAGTTATTATCATGACAAAGTGGTCGGTGAATGCTGTAGGGTTTGTTTGGAGATAATTTGTATATTAAGTCGTTTTATATGTTTTATTAATGTATTATTTTACATTATTAGTTTATAATAATGTAAAATAATACATTAATAGTACAATATATGAAGTGATCTTATATGAAGTCATTTTATATGTTTTATAAAGTATTATTTTACAATATGAAAAATAGTCAAGGCTAGCCTGAAATTATTTTACCTATTTTTTATTTTATTCAGTTTAATTCAAAAATATTTATTTGTTACTTTTATTTATTTTAATACAATGGCTTTTTTAAAAAAATAATATTTTGACATGTCAATTTAAATAAGCATCATCCCGACACAATATTTTTTAGAAAATAACAAAAAAACAATTCCTCAAATAGAGCTATGGTGATGTTAAAATTCTGGAGTGTTGAATGTGTAAATATGAAGGTTTAGGGGTTGGATATGTAAATATATAAGAATTGTGTGGAATGAATGTAAATGCCCCTAGATTATAATGGTTTAAGGAAAAATCAATCATGAGAAATGTATCCTGAATTTAAATGCATATTTCTACGGTTTCTCTTTCCCCTCCAATTTTAAGAACACAACTAATGACAAACCTTTATAAAAAATTATTGGGTGACAACTTAGTGGTGTAAACGAGCCGAACACGAGCGAGACTAGGCTCAGCTCATGTTCGGCTTGTTTGCTTAGCGAGCCGAACACGAGCCGTCAACGAACAAAGAGTCATTTTGATAACCCTAATCACGTAGCCATCAAATGTTAAGGATTGGGAAAAGATTTAAAACACCATTTGAATCTAATTTAATAATTTTTATTCTGTTTCTTAATTAATACTTTTAATTGATTATAAATCATTGTAGCCTTGTAGACATAATTTTTTAAAAAATATAACTCATATTGCTCATCAAAGATACATATATAATTTATTAGTAGTATTTCGAGCCAAAATAAGCCGAACACTAACGAACAAATATTTGTTTGTGTTGTTCGTGTTCGGCTCGTTAACATAGCGAAAGAGTCGAACACGAGTTGTTCGCAATCAATGAGTCGTTTTAATAACCCTACTAGCAAGCATACTTTTTTTTATAAACAATTAGTAGAGCTTTTGCTCCAATTTACACGACATTGTCTGTGATGCATACTCAGATTTTCTACCTCAATGTATTTTATCTTGCTAGGGTTGTATCTAAGGACAAATGGTGTTCCAAATGTATCCTGCTCCTAGACGACGACTATGCCCACAAATTCCTCCACACCTCCCTCTCTGAATCTGGCCAGCCACCCAAAAAATCCATTCCCCATCAAAATGGCTAGTCGTTGACCTTCCTCACACCTCTTTCCTTATCCCTAGTCATCGACCACCCTCCCTCGTCCCAAAATCCAGCCGCCAGAACCATACTTCTTTCCCCGATTCCTAGTCGTAGACCACCATCCCTCCCACACATGGTCATCTGATCCCTTCCTTGATTCTAGCAACCAACCACCCCCACCTTCCATGAGTTTCGACCACAAACTACCATCCTCTTCCCTATTTCGACCGCCAGCCACCACACAGTAGTCATTGTTGTCCACAAATTCTTCTACTGACCCTAGCCGAATGATGATTTTTGTTGTGTTTCCTATTTTCATTTGAAACTTGATTGTGACCCAATCTGTTATGAACAATAATACTTGCTTCATTATTGTGGTTTGAATTAAACCTGGTGTCAATTGGTATCAGACCTAGCATTACCCTAGTCATATCCTAAAATTTCTTAGCATTTGCTTTACCTCTTTCAAAAAATTTTTGCTTTCAATCCTCAATCACCCATTCCAATCCCAAAACCTAATAATGCCACCAAAGAGATACATGTCAGAACTTACACGAAAGAGATACAACGGGAAATTCATCAGCTTCTATAGAGACCCGCAGAGATTTATGATGGAATCCAAAGAGGAGATTACCCTCGATTGTTATCTAAAGAGTTGAACAGGACATGGAGATGAGGATCTGAATCTATTCTATAGGGAAGATGTTAGTGATGAGGAATACAAGCCCCAATTCTTTAGAATTCAGTATCAGAGAAGGGCAATAGAGGATACTACATATTGAGGACATAGGGATTTCAACATCAAAGTGGATCTATAAAAGTTCGATGGAGGTATGGATACAAACAACTTCAGTGACTGGTTGCAAACTATTGAGAGATTTTTTAGTATAAGTGTCAAAAAAAAAAAAAAAAGGGTAAAACTAACATCCATTAATTTGAAGAAGAGCGCCTCCTTGAGGTGGGAGAACTTGCAGATGCAGAGACAGAGAAAGAGAGAAGAATGAAAAGAATATCAAGTGGAAAATGATGAGGAAAGTGATGCAAAAGAAAAAACCTATCACCACATTACCGCCAGAATATGTTTCTGAGACTCCAACACCTGCAGTAGAGAAACCTATCAGTAGAGGAGTTAATTCACGGAACAATTTGACCAATTGCAGATGTTGTATTGTTACAATCATACTAGTCACTAGGAGTTAATTCCACCTTTGGTTTAAGATAGAGATTCCCTCATTCACCTTATTCATTTGCATGTCGTCTTCATCATGTAAATGACATTCATGTTTTTGGAAAAGCAAATCTCAATCATACTAATTACCTTGCAAGCTCTATGTACACATTTCAACAATCCTTCAATCTTACCACCAATCTTAAGAAATATGCAATAAGCTTCTCTGGATGAAAATATTGGATTTCAAATCAGCAATACTCTGGGTTTGTCTACGAAACACCTCCCCTATAATTACTTAGGCATCACTAATAATTATGCCAAGCTTAAAGCTTCATACTGCCCTAAACTAACTAAAAAGGTGATGCAAAGGTTAAGAAAAAAACTTCCCCCATCAATAACAATTTTCTTACAACATAATGGGGAGGAGAACAAAATGCACACTATTGCTTGGAATACTACTACCAAACCCAAGGACCGTTGAGAGCATGAGCTTCTGAATCCATAAATCATTAATCTTATGTAAAAATTTTAAGATCATTTGGAGGCACTATAACATCTATTCCTATCATTCCTCATAGCACCTTTATTATTATGGCTCTATCTAGTATAAAGCTAAATATTCCTTTATAATTTGGAAAGCTCTAGTGCAAGTTAAAAGTAGAATTAAAACAACTGAACCTTTCAGATTAATAAAACGAGCAAGTTACTCTGCTTTTTTTATCCTTGGCTTGATGGCATCTCCCATTTTGAGAAATATGGTAATTAAATTTTTTACTTGGTTTACTTACCCCACCAGTCATATTTGATTATAATGCATTCTACCCATTACAAGCTCCATTTTAGAGGACTGTGCTCTTCTTATTGAAGGCAGCCACATTAAGGATTCTCAATGCAACTAATCAAGGAGAGAGATTTTTTTTGTAATAATTTTATTTACACTTGTTTAAATATTGGAGCAGAGCATCATAAGTTATTGATAGAAAGAGGCAACTCATAAGGAAAGAGGGCACTCATAAGTAGTACCCCTTGTAAGTCGGCGGCTGTAGAGGACAGCAAAGGAGGGCCGTGCTGCAAAATTCAGCTGGAAGGGCGGGCAGCTAGGAGTAACTGCGAGAGATCATACAGTAAAAGGCCAGCAGTGGCAGCAGGGAAGGCCGGCGGTGGTTGGGATCTAGAGTAAGATCCCAACTCTGATACCATGTTGAAATATGGGAGTAGAGCAGCATATCTTATTGATAAAAAGAATGACATATAAACCCAACTACAATGGGCACTCATATGGAAAGAATTAAAAACATAATAAAGGAAAATAGGAAAAAAATAAAAAGAATAAACAGAAAAAGAAAAACAAATAACAAAAAAGAAAAGAAAATCTGCATATTAATAACAGCTATTGATAACCATTATTATTTTAATATTCTAATAACACTTATGTCTATGAAAACCACCCAGAAATTAATTGGAGCTATTTGATCTGATTTAAAGGTGGCCCTCTCAAATATGATGTAATAACTTGAAAATTTTTCACATTGGGCCTAAAAATTAAATAAACTCTTTTACTCATAGATTGCAGGTCAATCCCCAACGTGCTCTTTGTTTTGCTAACAGCAAAACCCACTCGCTTATTGCTTTATTGTCTTTTCTTTCTTTAGCATCTTAAGTTATTCATCCCTTATGGGATTTTTTTCTCACATTAGATGCAACTTAGCAAAGGTATTGGCTTATGCTGAAACATTGATAAATAATCTCTACAAAAATTCTTCTTACTTGCAGTCCATATTACTGTGCACTACATTTGGTTGGAAAGGAACCATAAAATATTTAACAAAACTAGTACCACTATTGAGGTTATTATTTTTAATAGAATCAAATTTGCCATTAAGCAAAAAATGAAAAATACAGGGTATATTTTCCCCTTTTATTTCATTATTATACTTTTAATTGTTGCTATCTAGTTTCCATGCTACTTCATCCATTTGAGATGATGAATGTTTGGGTTACCTGCTACTTCATTATCCCTTATACAGCAACCATTTATACTGAATATTGGGAATTCTGCCTCGCTATAATTTCTATAAGGACTTGAAGCTTATTGTGCCATGTGAGTTTCATTGCTATTGGGTGTTGTTATAATTCGGCTATATTTTCTAGAATCAGCTTCCCACTCTGGCTTGTAAAGGGTGGATTTTATGTTGGCTGTCACATTTTAGAGTTTACTCTTTCTTAGAGTTTATTCTTTCTCTTCCTCTGGATAATCTAATACAGTTGCTTCACATATGATTTTATATATCAAATTTTGAGTCAAAAGGTTGCCTTTACATGTTTTAGTTCATGCATGGATGCTCATTCAGGTTCATTTCATAAGATTTTTAGTTGGGCAACAAATACTACTATTCCTCAGCCGCTTGTAAAAACTTGAACTTTGGATTATTTTGCTTAATTTGAAATGGACTTTTGTTCTTATCTTAGATACTATGCTGGTTTTGGTTTTCCGGTTTTAAACAACTAAGGTGGCCTCCTTATTTTATAATTGTACAAAAAACAAGTGGAACTATACAATGTTTCTATATAATTTTGAAAGAACAACAATGAAAACTAAAATAAGAGACTCAACAAACTATCCTAAATCAATTGCTACAGTCCTGGGATCTCTTAATGTGGTGCATGGGCCACGTGGAATCTTTGAAGTGATAGCTTGTGGGATTAGAATCTACTTTAATAGAGACTTTTCATAATAGAATATATGAACTCAAAATCACAAGAATAATAATAATAAAATAGTCAATTTACACAGAAATACATATAGTGAAAGCAAGAAAGCCAAAAACTACAAGATAAATATACCTAGACAGGCAATTACTTATTCTCTCTTTATTTGTCTAATATTCAAATGTTCAATCACAAAATTGTTTAAATTAAAAAGATAGAATAGTTCAGAGAGGAAGGATGCACTAATCTGATTATAGCAGTAGAAGGTAATCCCTGCATGCTTACTATGATCTCTCTTCATCTGACTGAGAGGATGGGCCATTGTTGATCTCGGCAAAGTATTCCTCAACTGAATTATGGACAAACAACAAATATATAAAATATGAAAGAAAACTACATAAATTATTTTCGAGGCATTTACGTACATGCCGCATAATTCTTATATATTTACATATTTCACAACTAAACTTTCATATTTACATATATAGACTAATCAAATCTTTGGCATTACGTACAAAAAAGAAAAAAAAATCATTATTGCTAACTTTTTAAAAGTGAAATACACAATTTTACGCATAAGTTTTAACATCAAAGTATGTTAAATGTAAATATCAAATTGGGTGTTAGATAAGCAAATGCACAAGAGATTTGTGTTATGTATGTAAATTTCCAGTCATTTTTTGGGAAATAAAATGAGGAACTATGTTGATTTAACCCTCATTTTGGTATAAAAAAGAAGAAATGGGGAGAGAAATCAAATGCAAGGACAATAAGATATTCTCATGAATAAAAGTGAAGAAAATTGAAAGGAAGATTTACATGCATACCACTCAATTCCTATGTATTTACATATCTAACTCCTCAACTTTAATTTCAACATACAATACCACCTTATCTACAGATGAAAAGGTGTATCCAACTTTTCAAAAGTTAAAATGGTGGTATTATTTATGTGGTCTAAATGTAAAAAGTAAAATTTAAATGTTTGATATGTAAATACATAAAAATTGAGTGGTATGTATGTAAATGCCCCCAAAGTGAAAAAGCAATAGGCGGTAATACCAATATCATCCTGTTCAGGTGAGTCAAGCAGGATGTCCGAGTCTGAGGGCAGGAAGGGAGAGCCAGGGTAGTTCCCAAGAGCTCCAAGATCTGTGAAAATGGTTTATAAAAGAACAAAAAATACAATATGAAAAATACTATATCTATAATTAATATATATATATATATATATATAAGAATTAAGCAGAGAAAATTTCTTTTTTCAAGATTTTTCGTTTATTTTTTTATCTAAAATCTACAGACCTTGAGAACCATAGCATTTTCTTGTCAGGACAAAATAAACTGATGAATTACGGTACCAAATGGCCAAATCTAATGATTTAAGACGCACGGTAAGTTTTTCTAGCTCTTCAAAAAATGCTACATGGACAATCTATTGCAGATCATCAATATAATGCAATAGGTTGAACTCATGCAGCAAATTGTGGATATGCTTTCATGATTTGATTAACTTAACTATGATTAACCAATAAACCGTTGTCATCAGCCACAAAACCGGAAATATTAAAAGTTGATTGTTGACCGATAAAAATTAGTAACATCTATGTTAAAAATTAAGGAAACGAATTCAAATTTGATTTTTGCTAGTACTAGGGGGCTCACTAAAGTAACGTGCCATGACCTAACTCAACTATGGAGCGAAGTAGGGAATGCTTCGCTGCTATTTCGACGCCTTCAAGTTGTAAGGAAATAAATGCATTAATTATAATCATGTAGGTAGGTTTTGAAGGTGGTAATTATTATTGTGTAAGTAGTAATCATTATCTTTCATTATAATCATATATGTGTCTTCAAACCCCCTGACCTTTACCCCTCCTGCCATCAGCCAGGATACACCATGCTCTCATACCGGAATTAGTTGGAATGTGACGGAACAAAAACAAACTTTTATTAATAAAAAAAAATACTGTTACAACAAGAATCAAACAAAAAGGAAATACAACAATAAATGAATCTATGGTTAGAGACTGTAGGAAGAGATTTGAAGGCGGTAGTGACATCGACGGGGTGAGTGGTTATTGGGTAAGTAGGGATTGTGTTTGGCTGGTTGTAGGTAGGTGGAACGGCGAGGTCGTGGAGAAAGTAGGGGTGGCGGTAGAGTGGTGGAGGAATATGGGGGTGGTTGGCAGCTGGGAAGAGGTAGGAAAATGTGTCAAGAAGATGAAGCGAATTAGATTTGAAGTTTACAGCACTACCTCGGAACATGATACAGTCGAAGCACCACCTGTTGTCGAATACAGCCCTAGCAAGAGGGAATAGATTCCGCACAGGATATCAAAAGACAACTCCACTAGAACTGACTCCCCACAAGAGGACAACAATTTATAGGCTCCCGCTAGACAAAAGAAACTTCTACATAAAGGAAGATGGTTGGAAGGCAAGAAGAATCCAAAAAAACCCTTCCCAAACAAAAATAGGTGAGGCAGACTCCCGAAGCATCTCCCTGGATCGCGAGAGTTCACAATCCTGCCCAGCTTCCTTGGATCGCGAGAATTCGCGATTCGCCTCCAACTAAAGCGCGGAATCGCGACCCACCCAGCTTTCGCTCCCGCGAAGCATCACAAGGATTATGGCCCCGCAGGATTGAAGAGTCCCACTTTGGAACACAATCAAGCGCGCACTTGAGTGCCCTGCATCACCCTCGTCCTCGCCTAGAGGCTCATTGCGTTGTCTTCTTTATTTCCTACATTAAAAACCATTATTGTGATTCCTTTAAAGTTTCAACAATAATATTTTGCATTCTATTATTTTTCGAGATAACTCCGATATTATTTGGTATTAGAGCTAGTCTAACCCTAATCCTATCCTAGGGTTTCCTAGCATCCACTTTACCCCACCAAATTATTTTTTTTTCTATCCTCAAACCACACCTTCCAAACCCGAACCCTAATCATATTACCATAGAGATACATGTCGAAAACTACTCGGGACGAGATACAAAGGTTCAATAAAAGCTCGCGAAAATGATAGAACCCAGGGAGAGATTACCCTTGACTGTGATCTGGAGAGTTGAAGGGGTGATAGGGACGAAGATTTAAATTCGTTCCACATTGAAGACATCAACAAAGAAGAATACCAACCACGCCGCTTCAAAATTCAATATTAGAGGAGATTGAAAGAAGAGCCCAGATATGGCGAACAGAGGGACTTCGACATCAGAATGGACCAACCAAATAATTTATTGACTAGCTACAATCTATTGAGATGATCTTCAAATATAAAAATGTGTCAGAAGATAAGCGGGTAAAACTAGCAGATATCAAGTTGAAAAAGATGATCTCTTTGTACTGAGAGAACTTACAGAGACAAAAAGAAAGAAGTCGATGACAAGATTACTAAGTGGTAAAAGATAAAGAAAATAATGCAGAGGAAATACTTTCCACCTCATTACCAACAGAACATGTTCTGAGATTCACCCACTTGCAACAAGACCTTTCAGTAGAAGAAATCACAACTTAGTTTGACTAGTTACAGATGAAATACGAGCTGATCGAGCCAAAGGAGCACATTATAGCTCGGTACCTGGGGGGGGGGGGGGGGGTCTGAAGCCCACTAATAGCAATATGGTGCAGTTATAGCCATGCTAGATGCTGGGAGATTTTCAAACTCTAGCATTGAAATTGGAAAGGCAATAAAAACAGTGCAGACAACAATCTTCATTCACGCAACAACCTTTAATCAGGCAGTCACAAACAACTATTGTGACCGACATAGGCGCTTTGGGAGGAGTCACCAAGACAGGATTGGGAGATGACAAGCCAGTAGAGTGTAAAGAAGCTAGAGAAAGGTAGCTCTTCCAGTAAATACCAAACTAGGAGGAGTATCAGGAGCCACGACTACGAACACATAACCTCCAGCTGTCCCATAAATTGTGTTGTCACATTCACATATCAGGGTGTCGTTGAGGAGGTGGAGGACAAGAAGTCAAATGATAGTCTAGAAAAAGAACTGCTTCAGGGGGACGAGGGGGACAAGAAGTCAAATGATAGTCTAGAAAAAGAACTTCTGCTTCAGGGGGACGAGGAGGAATTGTTAGTCATACAGAGAGTTTTGGAGTCTGAGCCAAAGCTAGATCAATCATGGTTGAGACACGACATTTTTCGCGCCAAGTGCACGATAAAAGACAAAGTTTGCAGCTTAAGCATCGACAGTAGGAGTTGTGAAAATGTGGTATCCATGTTGATGGTGAAGTAATTGAGATTGGTCACGCAAAAATATCCCTAGTTCTATTTCCTTAACTAGTTGAAAAAGAAAAGTGAAATATGCGTGAATCAGCGGTGCTTGGTGAAATTTTTGATTGGGGATCAGCTACAGGAGCATGTATGGTGTGATGTGATTCCAATGGATGCACGTCATATTGTGTTGGGGAAGCCTTAGCAATTTGACCACAAGACTTAGTACAAAAACTACAAGAATACTTACTTATTTAAGAATGATTGAAAACACATCATATTGTTACCAGTTAAGGAGGGGCGTATGCAACACAGAGGAAGTGCTAGTCCCACGAGCAACCTTCATGGAATCAGTTCGGGATGCACTAGTGGCACTAGCATTAGTCTTAGAGGAAACTAAGGAGAGTGAGATACCAACACTATTACATCCACTACTATAGGACTTCCAGGATATGATGAGAAGGGATTACCACCACTAATCTAGCATTCAACGCGCTATAGAACTTATACCAAGATCAGTGTTGTTGAATTGGCCCGCCTACAGATTGAGACATGTGGAGTACGAGGAGTTGTAGCGATAGTTACAGGATCTCATCATGAGATGGTTGGTCAGAAAAAGTATCAGTCCATGCTGTCCCTGTCCTAATGGTACCCAAGAAGGACGAGACATGGCAGATTTGTATTGAAAGCGAGGCCATTAATAAGATTACCATCAAGTACCGGTTTCCAATACTTTACCCGAACAATCTCTTGGACTGCTTACACGAAGCTACTATCTTTTCAAGCTCAACCTACACAGTGGGTATCACTAGATCCGAATGAGGCCAATAGATGAGTGGAAGACCACATTCAAGCCACGAGATAGTTTATACGAGTGGACCGTTATGCCCTTCGACTTGACAAACACCCCCAGTACCTTTATGAGATTGATGAAACAGGTATTCCAGACACACACCGAGAAATTTGAGGTGGTCTACTTTGATAACATTCTGATAAACGTCGATCTGAAGAGAAAAAAAATTATAGCACTTGAGGGTGAAGTTTGAGGTATTGCGCGCGGAGAAGCTATATGCCCATTCTAAGAACTGCCTTCATGACAGCCCAGGTATGTTTTGTGGTTACATAGTATCCAGTGTAGGCATTCAAGTGGATCCTACAATGCTCGATATAATTTTTAGCTAACCAACACCGCAATCATTCACCGATCTGAGGTAATTTCTGGGGCTAGCCTCCTTTTGCTGACGATTCATCGGGAACTTCAACACTATCACCACCCCTCTGACGTAGCTTTTGAAAGGAAAGGAGAATAATAGAACAACTGCAGCTCAGACCAGCTTCGACACACTGAAGGAGAAGGTGACTTAGTCAATAATTGAAGCATTACATAATTTCAGCTAGTTGTTTGAGGTAGAGGGTGATGCAACCAACGTATGAATAGGAGTAGTGCTGAGCCAGGGAGAACCCCCATCGTCTTTTTCAGTGAAAAGTTGAATGACTCCAAAAGAAAATACTTAACATATAACAAAGAGCTTTATGCTACCATGAGGGCCTGAGACCACTGGAGCCACTACCTGCAGACAAGTGAGTTTACCTTGTTAACGGATCACGAGGCTATAAAATTCTTGAACAGCCAAAACAAGTTGAATGGTCGACACATGACTTGGGTTGAGTTTTTAGCATAGTTCCAATTCGTACTTAAGCACAAGGCACAGAGTCAGAATCGCGGAGTAAATACACTGAGCCATCATCACTTGTTAATCACGTCAATGCAGACACGAGTTGTGGGTTTTTGAGATAGTAAAGAACTTATGCAAGACATAAGAATAGTTCAAGAAGATTTGAGAGCAATGTCAGGAGAAGCCTACTAAGCAATACTACAATTCTAATGGTTACTTGTTCTACCAGAGTAAGTTGTGC